GTATAAGAACATGTTCTTATACAATTTTTATTTAAGTAACATTTGTAGTTTTATTATGGTCTTTAAGAACGCTTTAAAACAAAATTTTGTTTTAAAACGTTCTTGAAGACCATAATAAAACTAAAAATGTTAGTTTGAAAATCCCCATTGGTTTTATAATGACATTTTCCTGTATAGAAACGTATAATAGGTACACGCAGAGCCCAGACGCAAAATGAATGTTATAGTTTATATTTAGCAACAATTTCTGTATAAAACATGTTTTTTCCACTAGCCTGTTACAGATGATGCTGGTCAATTACAGCAATTAGCCTCTTGCTATGGTCATTTCATCTAGCGTTTAAGTGGTTGATTTGTTCGAATAAGGATTGGAAAAAGCATATAAATCAGGTAGTTTGGTTTGCCATTCATTTGAAGCAATTTATTCTATAAATAGACGCGCGATTTTATTAATAGACAGCCAATGAACCTTACTTACTTGCATCTGGGTTAGGAAATAGTCAAGAATAATGTATGCGTTTTTATCTGTTTTAACCTCACTTTTACCCAATTTATAATAAAGCTAACTTCAGCCCGTGTCTAAAAAGCCCAAAAGCCAACTTTGGTAAGTATATGTTTGGTTTTCAATAATCAAAAATTAAAAAACACTGTTATAAAAATTAGATTTGTTATCATAGGTTTGTAGTTAAAATAATTTTTGTAGGAAACTAGGGTTTGTAATTATTTTAACAAAGAAAAATATGCAATTTTGTAAGCATTTTGTTAATTTTAAAGGATGCAAATCATTTTGTTAATGTTTAACAAATTATTTCGTTTAAAAAGTACATGTGATTTCAAAATTTGTTTCTAAAAATCAATTAGTCAAGAATGACTAATTTAATAGTTATTAGTGGCTGCTTTTTCACTTGTACCATGGTTAACCATGATATCCCAAAATGTAACAGCCAATTCTTATGTAAAATTTCCCCTGAATCCGAAAATGTCGTCAAAAGTTAAAAAGTAGAACAGTTTTTGAGATATAGTCAATTTTCCATTTAATATGGAATTGACTATATCTCAAAAACTGCGCCCCTTTCATAATTTTATATTATTATATTTTCGGATTCAGGGGACACTTTTACATAAGAATTGGCTGTTACATTTTGGGATACCATGGTATTCCATGGTTAACCATGGTACAAGTGAAAAAGCAGCCACCAATAACTATTAAATTAGTCATTTTTGACTAATTCATTTTTCTAAGAGCGTATTTATCAAATGAATCATCAATAAAACTAGTAGTAAGTATAAAAATATCTGAAAACAGAATAATATGTTTTTAATTCTATCCTATAAATAAATCATTCAAAAAGGAATTACCGCTCATTTAAAAATTAATTACTATTTTATGCCTTGAGCAAGTTTGATTTAAGTAAAATCGTAGTACCTACATTTGTGGCCAGTAACATTTAATATTATAATTACATTTTTACATAACGACTTATTTTAAAATAAACATAATTAACCCATAAATAAATTTTAACATGTATTTATGAATAATAAATAATGAAAAACTGTGATTTTTTAATTTGTTATTACTATTAAGCATCTTTTTATCACTTCCTATATTATTGTTGTAATTCCATGCTAATCATTTTTGATGGTGTTAAGTTTTATGAACATTATAGAATATTATTACTAAAAAGGTTAAAACGTGCTAATTGACGTTTTAGTACTTTTATAACGGTATTATTTTTTATTTGCAAACCAGAATATTATGGTATTAAGGTCAATATTATGTGGGTAATTCAAAATAAATATTTCCTCTTCATTGTTTCATTATCAATTTATTTTTTATAAAAAAAAATAAAGCAATTTTCATAAATTATTGTATGTACGAGGTGGTACAAAACTTGGTGACATTTTTTTAATTTTAGTTATGATACGAATTTTATATTATATTATTATATAATATTTTTAAAGCCCTTTTATTTAATAATGAAAAACGTTCGAAAAATAGTATACCCTGAAAATTTTGTACAAATTAAATGAACAGCAACGAAGATACGGCGATTCCAAAAAATGACCTCTTTTCAGCAAAATAATCGAAAAGGGGCCATTTTTGAAGCGCTGTATCTTCGTTACTGTTCGTTTAATTTGCACAAAATTTTTAGGGTATACCAATAAAAATAGGTTCTTTAACAGCATATTTTTTATTTACTTAAAAAAAATTACCCTTAAAGTTATTTTTCGAACGTTTTTCATTATTAAATAAAATGTCTTTAAAAATATTTTCTCGAAATTTTATAAAGAATAATAAAGGTGTTTTAGAGTTAGATTTTTTTTACAGTGGTTCCAAAAATTGTGGCCCACACTGTATATACTAATTAGTATGTTTTAATATATACTAATTAGAATGACGAAAAACCGGTTTTTCCACAATATCGCAAAAATATACTTGAGCAAAATAATAATTTTAAATTAGGGCACCCAAATTACCCTATAGAAAAGTTATTTTTCCACCCATATAACTTCCGAAATAAAGATTTATTCTGAATTTGATTGTGTTGACCTTTGACCTTAATGGATTATAAAAATAGGTGTCATCAAAACTTATCTTTAATAAGTATTATATTGCCTTGAAACATTGTTATATCATACAAATTGTGTTAAATATATGTAATTATATTTAATTTTCCAACAAAATGTTTGTTTTTATCATTATTATCCCATCAATAATTGTAATGCGTTTTTATTTATATGGTTCAATTTTAAAAAATTGTACAATTTGACTTATAGGGCATTTAAAATCTGTTACAAAATATATTTATAAAGTTATTTTATTAACTTGTTGACTTCCGCTCAAAGGTATTTAAACTTAGAGATATCCTATCAGTGGCGAAGGTAAAAGTACTTTTCTTTTAAGGTCAAGTAATGTACCTATTCGTTTATCTAATATATGTGGTTTTTATTCGGTGTAGAATGTTCTGGGTACAATTTTTTACTTAGTAATAGTAATTGCAGTACATGTGTAGTATAATAAATCGCGTAATTAAGAATGTTAATTAATAATATTGGTTGTTTTAAATATAGCTTGTTTTGATACAAATTTTAAGTAATAAAACTAGTTTAAAAATAGAGTACTTGCTGAAGCATTTTTTTTAAATATTCTTGTAATTTATTGTTATATTTCCAAAAAAATACTTGATAAAAAATAATGTGAATGTAGGGTAACTTAAAACAGCAATAATTTTTTTATTGGAACGCCCTGTATATTTTTACATAATTAAATATGAAATTATAATACCTTTTCATTGATATAACTATTTCCTATACCTAAAGTTAATAATTCCTATTATTTATTATTTAAAATTTTTAAATATTAATTTTAAATTAATAAACAATACAAGTGGAATCTACAAATGAGTTTTAAAAACTGTATGTATTCATATGACAAGAAAATAATAAATTAATAAGAACAATATATTTTTTTCCGGTGTTAATATGTATGTGTATAAACGGTTTGATTGAACGCCCGGTACCTTCATTAAAAGGTATATTATTATTTACTAAAAAAGTTAAAAATTCATTAATTAAATAATAATTGTTAATAAAATAGTTAAAATGGAGGAAAATCACTATTCAAATCAAGTTTTGATAAACTGGTTTATTCTTCATGGACAATATGACAAACTTATTGCTAGAACATGAAAACACTTTTTGTATGATGTACCTTTAATTGGGTTATCCATTAAGTATAAATATTTTTATCAACTTTTTTTCTTTATTTTAATAATAATGAATATAGGAAAAGTTTTGTTATTCATATCAAATTAATACACATGCGGAACATTTTATCAGTTTTTCTTTATATTATTATGGTAATTGTAAAATATCTTTGTTACTAATAACTTTAGGTATAGGGAATAGTTATATCAATTATTTATTATATTTAATTATGTAAAAATATACAAGGCGTTCCATTGAGAATAAAAGCTTTTTTGTTGAGGGCGAAACTGACCAAATTTTACAAAAAGAATGAATAACTCAAAAACTATTAAGTTTATGTATAGGACATTTATAGCCTTCTTATAAAGAATGATGGTAAGAATTTAAAAATGTAAAAAAAATTGTGGTGATCCATTTCAAATGACAAAGTTGATATCGCTTCCGTTAAAACCGGAAGAGGAATTTTGGTTCAAAATAATTTAGATAAATAGTTTATATGATATTATAATTGCTATACAAATTTTAATTCGATATCTTTTGCCGTTCTCCTAAATGTCCAACCTACCATCGACCGTGATACACCCTGTATACAGGGTGAGTCATTTAACTTGAAACTTTGAAATATCTTACTTAGTATGCTCGACGAACTCTTTTTTTCGGTTGAACACATTAATTAATTGACAAAATAATGTTTTTTTAACCTATTTTTATTAAAACTAGTACAATAATACTTTAAATTAAAGATTGATAATTATCACCTAATGAAATAATGTATAAAACTTAAACCAAAAATCGTGGGTACTTAAAAAAATTAGATTTAATTTAATAAGATAATTATTACCAAAAAAATGATATTTTTATAAAACATTTATTGCAAAATCGAACAAAATTGTTTTTTAAATCTACCTATTTTTAGTCGAATGATTTGAATCTGCAATAAAAAAATAGGGTGTTCCATTGGAAATTTCAAAGTTACCCCCTGTTTCCCCCATAAAAAGGGGAGTATGTAGTACTAATTGATTTCCCCCCTCGAATTATTTAATTTTAATTTTAAACATTTTTTCGTAAAATGCATACTAACTAAGATATTTCATGTTTCCAGTTAATGACTCATCATGTATATATTATACATAGGTACATAGTTTTTTTTTTATTAAGTTGTCAAGAAATTTTATAAATATGTACATATATTTATGTAAATAATAATAATTATCTATACCTTCACATTTTATATAATGCCATTATTTTTGTAGTACTTTAAACTTTACATACATTATCATGCCCAAGGCGACGCTAAAGCCTACACAAAAACGAACAAAAAATCTTCTGTTAAAAAGTAAAAGAGTCAAAGACCAACAACCAGTTTTGCATCGCGATATAAATCAGAAACCTTAAATATCCTGAAGCGTTTGTTTAATTCTTCAATAGATAGATTTTTGCTTTGCTACTCCTCTAAACTACACGAACCCATATCGTTTAAAAAGCTGCTTTGCAAAGTGGGAGGACAGTTCCGAACCATCCGTGATGTTAGTAACTTAGTGCTGGCAGTGTAGTTAACAAAAACATTCAGTGAAAAAGTTTTATTTTTTAACAGTACAAACAAATTTTGGATATCCAACCACCTTTGCTTTAGGAAGTTTATTAAAAAAGGTATGTTATTGTTCTTTTTTATTATTTGTTGTTAAATTGTTGATAAGCTAAAAACTTTTTAGTTTAGGGAAAATCAAGACTATTTTAAACATTTTTGGTTTGTTTATCAGTTATTTTTAACCACCAAGTTGGTCATCTTTGTTCAGAACTCGTTGGCTATTTTTAGCCGGTCGTAATCTTTTGTTTATGTCGGGGTCATCCGACAACTTTTTTCGAGAAAGGTGGGTTGTACAGTACCTTGCAAAATTTTTTGTGCGCCCAAAAACGACCGGTCAAAAGTTTGACTCAAAACAAATCGTTAAAGTTTTATTGACCAGGTTACGAAATTTTTTAAATTTAAATTTTTTTTGTTCAGTTTTGAGTGGGGAAATTACTGACAAGCATGTTAAGTTTAATTGTTTTTTGTACCAATTTATTCTAATGATTGGTATAATCATTAAAATAAATTGTTAAGTACGAAAATATACGAATTTTGAAAACATATTATTTTTACAATTATTTGGCTTCACTAAAATATTCCAAATTATTTTTTTTTACTTTTTTCTCTAGACGTTTGAAGGAGTCAAGGTCATTTAACCTGATTTTTTTAAACTAGATATTTTTTTACCGTTTTGAATACTTTGAAAACTTTTGAAAGGTGTTCTTTTTATTCCATAAATTAAAATGCACTATTTATCAAATTATTAGAACAAAAATGCTATATACATATATAGTTGTATATTTATATTAAGGTACATTTCCTGTAACATATTAAAACAATACATCAAACCAAACGTACAAATGTAACACGCTTATCATAATTTAATTCAATAATAAATATTTATATAAATGTATATTCGTTTATTTTTGTTTTTGTTAATTTTTTTATTTCACAAAATGTCTACCAATTTAGTAAATAAAATTATTATTATTCCAGTATTACCATAACCAATTGATTAAGGCTACCATATTTACAAATATTAAAATAATCTATAATCTAAAAAAACAAAACTATAAACGGTGCGTATGTAGGGGCAACAATAACATAATAAAAATCACTTTTTAAGGCTTTCAAACAACAGTTTTAATTAGTAGAGTATTAATAAAAATGTCTACGTCTATTAAACACTGTCTTTTGTTTGTTGCTTTTCCAAGGCAGCCATGCCATACCATTAAAAATATACGGCAGTTCCTCGATCATAAGGAAGTTAAAATTAGGTTAATAATTACACTCGTCGACAGCAATTTTGCCACATGGTGTCCAATGAAATAAAATTATTACAAAAAAAATATATAATATGGATCTATGGACGACCATTAAATTACATTTTTAAGAGGCCTGGTTTTCATTTAAATTTATTTATGAAATTGTATTAAAATGTAGATTAATAGCTTTCTAATGAAAATTGGTTAATTTGAATCAAGGTAATCAAGGAAATATTTGGTTGGTTATTTTGTTTATAAATATTTATATGATACAATCAACATTTTAAAAAGTACAGGATGTTTATAAATAAATTATGAAAGATTAAAATTTTGAATTTTTTAGTCTCACAATTAAGTATTTAAATGTAAAAAATTAATGTTCATAGGTAGGTATATAATTTATTTATATTTGTGTTTATCAATTGCACGAAAATCTTGAAATAAAAACTGGTATTAAATTTATTTTAATATTATTTATTTTATTCACTTCCTCTTTAATTTCACTGGATTTAAAATATTAATTTTTAGTAGAAATATTTTTTAAATATTTAATAATTACTTTACTTTTACTTTTCTATGAAATAACTTATTATATAAACAATTAAAAGTTCGTTTAATAGTATCTACGCCCCTGCACTTATAAATAAAAGTACTAATATTTAGCATACTGCTTATGCTTCAAGAGGGCTACACAACCATGCACCAACAGTGTAAGCACACTCGAAACACGCTTCCTATATAGGCAACAGGTGCAGCAAGAGCGGTGAGAGGTAGGTAATCAGCCCCGTCTAAAGTCCAAAAGACATGGCCAACTATGTGTGTTCAAGATCTGTGCTGCCTTAAGTAGAAAATAGGATATTATGTATTAAGTTTAATAAATGCCATTTTATTCACGAGAGAGCTTGCGAGCAAGTATTTAATAAAATGAGTCTTTAGAAAAGTTATAAAGGAGTTGCATACTATTCTTTTTCTGCGACAAATATTTTTAATCTGTTTATTAATTTTGTATTTTTGTGTTGAGATAATAAAAACATTTCATATTTACTGTTATAATTTTGACGATTGTATGACATTTGATAACTGTCAACTTAAAGCTTAAAGCCCGTGACTAAAACCCCATAATTTTACAGCTTGTGAAAGAAACATGAAATGGGCGTTTAAATTTAAAGGTGGGAGTAAAAAAACATTTTTGTAGTTTTTTAGGGGTAAATGGTAAAAATAAAACAGTTAACTATTTCTAGTACGATTTTGGTAATGACATACTTAATACTTTTTAATAAGCTCATAATTTATAGTAAAAATAGGTATAATGATAATTTTAATCATATGTACATATATTTTACATTTTAAAATCTTATAAAAAAATCGACAATTTTTAAAAGTTTACATAATTTATTTAAGAAGTCGTACAAGCGCCAGTAGCAAAAATTAGTAGGTAGATAAAGCAATATTTTATTTTGTTGAAAACAAGATTTTTAAGGAGAATAACTTTGTGAATAAGTATATATACTTATATACTAAATATATTAACTAAAAATTACATCAGCCATTAAAAATTCCAACTTGCCACTTTGATTTTCTTTTTTGCTGTTTAAATTATTGGACAACAAATAAATCACTTATATAATTTTTTAATATTTATTTTATAAAATGTTTAATTAATCGATTTCTAAGAATTAAAACCACAAACATTTTAATGTTGTTGTGATTTTTTAATCAATTTTTAACACCAACCAATTATATTTTAAAATAACCAAATCGTGTCTCGATGAATGAAAATAATACGTAGATTTTAATCATTATTTTTAATGTATTCACCGATCACTTATAATTAATCATTTTGTGTAGTATAAAACAAGTTTATTGAATTTAATTTAAATAATACTTATGGTTAGTAAAAACAGATCAATGTAATTAAAAAATATAATTTGTATGTTTTCTTAGAAGCATTACAAGTGTTTTCAGTTTATACTATGCATCCTAGCATTTAACATACAATATTATATTTAAATTATATCGATGCAATGTTTTTATTCAATAAATAAATAAGTAAAACCTGGCAACGTTGTGATGTCAACATTTTTTTAGTAATGTTATTGAAATTGAAGCTATTAAACGTTTCTATTTAAGCGGAAAATAAAAATTATTAATTTTCGATGCCTACAACAGACCAAGCATTTTTTGACTGTGTGCCAACGGGTTCTGAGTGAAGGACGGTTCATGAGCAAAATTCAGTTTGTAAATTTTCAGTGCATGATTTGAAATTAAACCGAATGGTGTTTGTTGTTGATTACAAAAAATGTGGACACTTCATACTCAATAACACTTAGTTATTCGTTTAAAACCATTGGATTTTATTTATCAAAGTAAGTAGCGAACATACACCTATTTAACATATTACTATTTTATTTTGTGAGTCACCTTTTTGTTTGCCATTTATACAGGGTGGCAATACACAAGTAAATAAGCTGTACCGTCAGTAAATATAATTATCAACACAAATATCCATTATTATTAGGTGGAAATTAGTCAAAAATTAATGGTATAACACCAAAAAACTACAAACAACATTACAAGAGATTAGGTTATTTGTACAGGGGCGAATTTAGAACATTTATTTAGAATTTCATATTGTACAAATTATTTAAAGCAATTAATTTCATTTGTTTCTGTTAATTAAAACATATTATAATAAATTACATGGTTTGACTGGAAATGCGGGCAAATTAGTTTTATAATAATACAATTTATCACAAATTGGATGGTTTGGCATAATGCGTAAAATATGTATTATTAATATTATTATTATCGGAAATGTAAATGTCAAAATAAATTCTCAATTTATATGCTCTTGCTACAAATTTAATATACACATACATATTTTTTAAACGTGATTTTATTAGTATAATATTATGTATTAGTTTGATAAACGCCATCTTAGTCACGATTGTTAATTAGGCACGAGCGATGCTTAAAAGCGAGTGAGATGAAACTGAAGAGGATGTTTTAGGGGTACTCAATTTTATTTCTGCAAATACTAGTTTACTGCCAGCAAAAAGATTGACGTCAAATAATTATTTAATAATTTTGTATTAAATTAATTAAATAATTTCCATATTTTAGTACTATTTCACAAAAATGACATTTCAGCTCGTGATTAAAACGCAATGAAGTCACAGTTTGTCAATGTGTATTTAAAAGATCAGTAATGGTAAAATAATTTTTTTCTGTAAACCTAACCAAATTATTTTTAACAATGCGGTTTTAAATTGAAAATTATTCCGGAAAAAAGTTATTATTCTCATTATATTTTAATTTAAAAAACCTATTTTTCTCAAAATTTACTGTGATGTAAAAAAGCAATTATTGCCACATTGTAATAAGATTATTATTATACATATACAGGGTGCTTCATAGTTTTGTATTTCTTAAAAAAACGTAACAAACCCATTTTGATCCACTCTGTATATAAATTTCAAATTCACATGTTTTTTTTTAATTTGGTCATCAGTTAAATCAAATAAACAATATTATCTACTAGATTTTCTTAAGTTGGTCGGTATATTATCGGTTATTAAGGCCAAAGGTTATCTTAAATTTTTATAAATATGCGTTCAAAAAGTTGTTTTTTATATTTTCCAGAAATTTAGAATTTATTACTAAAATTATTGATAAAATTGTATTACATTTTATTGCAAATATTTTTTTTCCCAAAATGTGTTTTATTTAAATTTCACTATTAATTTTAAAGAGACCTAGTACTTTTAGATGGCCCAATTTTATTAATAAAGAAAAATTATAAAATGGGTCATAAT